GAAGTGGGCCACTTCCAGGCCTGGCCCATAAAACCCTCCAGGCACAGTTGTCTGTGCCCTGCCCCTCCCTGCTGGCTGGTGCAGAAGCACCCGCTGCCCCAGGAGGGCTCCTGCCACAGCACAGGATGGAGGCAGCATCGGTGCCAGGGCCGCTGCTCGGAGGAGAGCTCGCTGCTGAGCAGGCGCCCTGGTTGGGACTTTACACAAGCCAGAAGTGAATATTTATGGTATTTGAGCCGTGATACAGTTTGTTGCGAGTTAGCCTCCTAGCTGATGGAGGCATGATGCCTGGAATGCTAGGCAAAACTGGTGAGGTTAGTGAAGGCGCTACGGATTTGAGACTCTACTTAATTTTGATTATTTATGTGTCATGTCATATGTACTGACCAGTGAATTTTAAGAATCAGTTTACGTCATGGTAAAATATATGAAAAAGTTTTTTTCAATGCATCACTTCTAATTGATACAAGTGGTTTATTGCATTCAGTGTAGCCTCTCTCCGTCTTTGATTTAATAAGCTCTGTGGGTCCTCCGTTAGCTTTAAAGGGACTCTGTGGAGACTTAAACATTCTCAGTCCTTATTTCAAAGAACTGTAAATACAGTTTTCATCATGCTACTTCTCTGTTCAAAAGCCTGTAATCACTCCTTATTACATAGCATTTTGTTCATTTATTCCAACATCCAAAGACTGTATACATCAGGAATGTGGCTACATGTGACGTCCTGGAAGGAGACAAAAATGAAGAAGACAGTTCATGTCTCTGAGGACGTTGTGCTTGGTACACAGGTGGCAACTGGTTTCTGTGCCGCTGCAATTTGCCCCACGTCAGCCTTTAATAAGTCATGTATTATTTCTTCATTCCAGTGTTTAAAATTCTTACCCAAGGATATGTTTTTATATAAATTGACTTTTTAGAGAGAGGAAGGGGGAAGAGAGAGAGAGAGAGAAATAAACATTCCCTTACGCACCCCGACTGGGAATCGAACCCACCAACTAGGTATGTGCCCTGAGTGGGAATAGCAGCCTGGGCCTCACCCGCTGGGCTCTTCATTCCAATTGGTGGCACTTTTTGAAGGCAGGGGATCTCCTTTATAGAGCGGCTGTCTCTCCCCTCCTGGCCACTTCTTAGAGACACTGGACATAATAACCATCCATATAGTTTTTTTTCATTATCTTGCTTGGATATTCTGGCAGAGTTTTGTATTACAATTGGTGTTAAGGGATAGAAGTACTCATTTCATGGAATTATGCGGTTGAGGAATGCTAGGACTGAAAGGGTCTTTTTTTATAACTATATATTTTATTTTTTATTACAAGAAAAAATTTATTTAGAAAGTTATAGGGGTGCCATGGCCAGTGGCTCAGTGGTCAGAGCGTTGGGTTTAGTTCCTGGTCATGACTCCAAACTTGGCCTGGTCAAGGGGCAACCAATCGATGTGTCTCTCTCACGTCGATGGTTGTTTTTTTTTTCTCTCTTTCCCCCCTCCCTCCCTTCTACTCTCTCTAAAAATCAATGGAGAAAATATCTTTGGTGAGGATTAACTCAAAGTAAATAAATAAAAGAAAGTTACAGAGGCAAAAGAAAGGCCTGGAAGGGTCCTTATTTATTTATTTATTTAAAAAAATATATTTTATTGATTTTTTACGGAGAGGAAAGAAGAGGGATAGAGAGTTAGAAACATTGATGAGAGAGACACATCGATCAGCTGCCTCCTGCAGGCACCTTATTGGGGATGTGCCTGCAACCAAGGTACATGCCCTTGACCGGAATTGAACCTGGGACCCTTCAATCCGCAGGCTGATGCTCTATTCCACTGAGCCAAACTGGTTAGGGCAGTACCTTTGTCTTTTTATTGCTGGGTCCCAGTTCCTAGGATGGTGTCTGGCACGATAGACACTCTGATGTTTGAAGAACAAATGGAAAGAGGCTACGCAGATGGCACCAGAGTGGTCTAACTCGGTCAGTGGGCGGAAGGCCCCGGAAGGATCAGAGGTCTGAGTTGAGATTCAGAGGCAGCCAGAGAGGGCAGCGGGAGGACTTGAACCCAGACCTTCCTGACATTGAGCTTGTGCTTTGCCCCTCCCTGCTGTTCTGTGGGCAGAGAGGTCAGCTGTTTGCCTAGACTTGTCAGCCGGGGTGGTGGAACTGGTGCGGGCTCCATTCTCCAGACCCTCGTCTGGGGCCACTTCCGCTCAGTATCATCAGCAGATCTCAAGGGGTCCAGTGGGAGGACCTGACTCGGAGTCTGGCCCCTGGTTAACACAAGGCCGGTCCTTCCAGTGTGGGTTTCCTTGGGTTTCAGGCTTGTTTGAGAACCTGGTTATTTTGAGGATAGAACGACATTTACTATCACTCTCACTTGTGGGAGTGAGTTTCTGTCCTGGTTAAATTAAACTATTAGAGACACTTTATTATGCCAGTGCTGTAGAGAGATCATGGTTGGTTGTTCGCGGTATTTCTGTTCCATGTTATTTTTGGTGTTTAATTCTTCTGATTTGTTATGTGGTATATTTTGCCACTGGTTTACCTGTCATCAAACTTTGAAGTAAGGTGTAAAAGTCCTTTTTTGGGAAGCCATTTATTAGTGTGTCCCACTACACTTTAGTGATTTGTAAACCTTTTGATGGTAAGGCCATTGCTAAAATGTCTTGAGAAGTGGTAAGCTCATGCTGTCTTTTTTGGTAATAGGAAGCCAGAAAATGTTAAGCCTTGAATGTAAGACATTAGTTTTAACATCATGAAATTTCGTTTCAATTCCGAAGCCACATTAAGATGAGATGTTGCAGTAATGCGGTTAGAAGGCTGTTGCTGGCGGCTCTCGCACGTGTTCCGTGAAGTCAGAGTACTGCTGACTTGACGTGAACCGCTTTTCATGATGTGCTCTAATTCCACCTCGCGGTCTCGGGAAGGAACGTGCTGGTGTCCCACAGGGACTTGGCTTCTGAAGTTGCCCCAGTCCACAGGGAGCGTCCTCGGGCCTAGGTGCTAGTTCAGTCTCAGGCGGTTGCTAAAGATGCTGCCACACATTGGCAGTCAGCAGTCACCACTGTTGGTTAAATCAAATAGAAGGCTGGTAAAAGTCCAGCAACTAGAACTTTCTGGAAACAAAGTAAGTAGGAAGCAGATGTTTATCCTGGTAGCTAAGAGTCACATTGTGGAGGAGGACTTACTTATGGTGAAGCACTTGACCATGAATATAAGGAGGTCGAGGGACCCCTCTGGTGCACAATTGGGGCCGGGGAGGGATGCAGGAGGTTGGCCAGCTGGGGAGGGACTGCAGGAGGGCTCCAGGGCATTTCCGGTCAGTCTAGCTCAGTCCCCTCTCCCCCCACCCCACCACATCAGCCAGACCCCAGCAGCAAGCTAACCTACCTGTTGGAGCATCTGCCCCCTGGTGGTCAGTGCATGTCATAGAGAGCAGTTGAATGGCCTTAGCATATCATTAGCATATTGCACTTTGATTGGTTGAATGGCCTACTGGACGACCAGACACGTAGCATATTGGGCTTCTATTATATGGGATTTTTATTGATTTCAGAGAGGAAGGCAGAGGAAGAGAGAGAAAGAAATATCAATGATGAGAGCTGATCATTGATCAGCTGCCTCTTACATGCCCCCTACTGGGGATGGAGCCTGCAACCCAGGCTTGTGCCCTGACTGGGAATCGAACTGTAACCTCCTAGTTCATAGGTCGACACTCAACCACTGAGCCATGCTGGCCTGGCCTTGCTACCTTTTTTGAGGTAATACAGAGGTAATTACATTCCGAATGACAGCTAGTAAGTGAGAGAACTGCGCTATTTATATTGTAAAGAAAAATGTTGAAGTGGTTGTTGAAAGTCTAAACAGTCCTTGGTTTTCTAGGGTATATAAATACACTGAGTGGCCAAATTATTATGGCCACCTGACGTTTGTAGGCAAATTAGCTATAATTTCGCGCTGAAGTTGCTAGAAGGCCAGACCATTATAAATAGGGAAGCAGGTTGTTTACCACGACAGAAGTGATTTTTTCCTGAAGATATGGGTAATGTGGGTTGTATATAATGCAGGATGAATAATCTAAACATTTAGTTAATACTGCAACCAAAAGAAAAGGATATCAGGACTGAAAATAATTGGTTGGCAAGACTCACAGAAGATGGTTTTCCTTTTTAAACGTTACCATTGTGCTGGTTCTTGTATGAAAATTAAAATTTTACCTTCACGAAGCAGCCTGGGAGCAGAGACCTGTTCTCCAGCTTCCTGACCTGCGGCACCTGCCCATCTACCTAGCTGGCACTCAGATTCTCTTGAATGAGTTGGGTGTTGGGTTTACTGTTGGGAAATGGTTAACAATGTCATTGAATATGGACTGAACTGCAAAATGAATATGGCATTGGCTCTTCTTAGTAAAGATTTACTGTGGACAGCACTGACGCTTCCTTTAAAAAAGTTTTTTTTACAAGTAATACATACTCCCTGCATATGGCTTTCTTCACACACATAGATTTTAAATTTTGTAACATTCAAGTCTACAGAATAATTGTAGGTGTGGTGCAAAGAACCCGTTTCCCCTTGAACTATGTGAGAATAAGTTGCCAATATGTTTCACCCCTGCCCCCTCTCGAATTCTTTTGTATTCCCTGCAAACCAGAGCATTTCTCCATAACCATAACATAGTGATCACCCAGGAAACTAAAATCGAGACATTTCTACCATCCCACCCTCAGATGCTGTGCCTGTTATGCTGGCTGGCCCAGTGGTAACCTCCGGGCCTACTCGGTCGTCTCCTCTGCCTCTAAGACACAGCAGTCCTCTCAGTCTTTGACTTTCATGGCCTTGACATTCTTCGTTCGAGAACAGGCCAGTCATTCCGTAGACTGTCCCTCCTGTGGGGTTTGTCTGATGTTTCCTCATGATTAGATCCATGTTGTGCATCTTTGGCAGGAAGACCACAGAAGAGCCAGTGTATATCTTTTGCAAAGATTAGTTTTACATTTTATTTTCTGTTTCCTTAGAGCGTTTCCCAAAGTGTATTCTGCGGAACTAGCACCTACTGTGTTCTCAACACCGTGCCACCTCTAGAAGGTAGGATTCGCAAAGCTTTTGACTTACAGGACGGGGTGGGCTTGGCAGCGCGAGTGTTCGCGGCATCGTAGTGCAGGAAATAGCCTGTGAGCCGGCCTTAGAAGACCTGAGTTCTGCCTTAACTTGTTGTGTGATCTTAGATGAGTTACTTAATCCTTCTGGGGGTAGCAAAATAAGACTCCCCTTGTAACCTTTATGTGAGGATTAAAAAAGGCAAAGGGTTTAACCACATGGGAAATCCCAAGCACTCTGCAACGTTACATATTGAAACAATGATTCTGTAACTGGTGTCAAATTCCAGACACAGAGTAGGAGTCCTGTGGGAAAGCCACTGGTTATGTTTGAATCCCGTTTGAGCCACTTACTAGTTGTGGGTCTTGGGCAATTAATCTGAGCCTCTGGCTCTTCATCTGTGAAATGGGTTGATGATGCCCTGCCGGGTTCTTGGGAGGATTAAATGAGAGTGTGCATGTAGGCTCTCCTGGATGCCTGATATGGAGGCCCACAAATGTTTGTTCCCCCAGAAACAGCAGAAAGGAAACCTACCTGGTCACGTGTAGCTCCATGGACATTGACGGAGATGAAGCAGGAGCAGATGCTCCCAAACTCAAATGGAAGCAGTCGATTGCAAAGCTCCTAGACCCCACGCTAGCTGCCCCTGCACACGTAGTTTAGATGGAAATATAGATGCAGATGAATAGAAGTTTATTGAACCTGGGTTATGAGTTGACCTAAACCTGGACCAGAGATATAGTAATAAGAATGGCAGAAAAAAGCATAAATCTGGGCCACCTAAGAATAGGAAGGGTCAGGTTTGATGATCACACACTGTAAGGAGAGGAAAGGGGTTGTTAAAGAGCAAATCTAGTTATGTTTTTCTATTAAAAAACTTATTTTTTTAACCTTTAAATATCTTTTGGATAATTACAACGGAGCTTAATTCATTTTGGAGAATCTCTTTGGAAAAGAATAAAGAGAAATCCTACCAGTGCTGACACATAGTTGGTGCTTAATTAATATGTATTTTGGATGCATAATGATTTGAAAGTTTGACATTAGTAATGGCAGTATTTGCTGCTGTGAGCACTGTGCTGACTTGAATAGAACAATATGTGGCTATGTTTTCCTGAATCAGTTCCTATCCTGCTAATTAAATCTAAGCACATAATAATTAGAGCTAAACAGAAAATTGTAGAGCTTCCTTTTAATTTTACCACTCCAAGTTGATCAGATATGTTCCTGATAAGATCTAGCAGTTTGATACACTGTTATATCGACTTATTTTGAGCAGTTTGGTCTAGAGGTTGAGAGATTAACTGTAATCACCTTGATTGAATAACAACCAAAATTATTGAATTTTTATTAATTATGAACAAAAATAAAATGGATGCATCATTTCCAGGTTAATGTTGATATAGTTATAATTTACCTTGCAGAAGTCAACAGGGTGTTCCAAGGAAAAGGTCACATGTATTTCTTTGGATTTAAATAAAGGATTTGGCAATGTGAATCTCAATTTTTAGCAATAAAACATGAAAACAAGAACTCTGCTTCTTGCCTTATTAAGTGACAGCACATTTTTGTATATTTTAGAAAGCTTTAGTTAAATTATACTGTGTCTCTGAAATTATTATTTGGAAAATATTTGAAGGTTGACTGGAAAAGATGGTTCATTCTCTAGAATTATAGTTGTCAGCCAAGCAGATCATCTGTCAGTTTCAGGAGCTTCACTAGTTATTTATATTGTGAAGGAGGTTAGAAAATAATTTTCTGAAGTCATATATCAGACCCGAGTATTATGCTAGATAATGATAATGAAGTATTTCACTGGATTTGGTTGGCACTTCCATGTCGCAGTGTCAGTTTAACTATTTACATTAAATCCTGAGATGCCTTTGGAACCAGTGTATACATCAGGTTACTCTTAGGCGCTGTTACAATCCTGGTGCTGAGACAGGATTTAAAAACTGGCACATGTATTTATCTAATTATTATGTCAGCATAGTTATTCCAAAAAATGAAAAAGCAGTTCTTTTCCAATGGGGAAGCAAAGTTACTTTTTATGACACTTTTAACTGGAAAACAGAAATTTGAAAATAAGAGTCTTAACATTTTGCCTATATGAGTTCCTATTTTTCCCCAGCACTAAAATGGTCATCTTCATAATGCATAGTGGGAAAATTTCCCCGTTGTTATGTTTCTTAAAAACATCCAATCTATATTCAGCATGAACCTAAAATTCTGGAAATGGCACAGTTTAAAAACTGATTAAGGGGAACTCATTGGCCTGTCATACTTCTGGTCCCTTTGAAGCCCTGGCTGTACAGCCCGTAGCCACTATATTTAGAAACTTGATTGAGACCGTGCTTACACAGCCATCCTCCCGTTCCTCTTTAAGAGCCTCTGCCTGATTCCGTATCAGCGTGGAAGACGGAAGGCTTTCTATAGCAGTTCCTGGTGCTGCTGAGAAGAGTGCGC